TTTTTTTTTTTTGAGATGGAGTCTCACTCAGTCGCCCAGGCTGGAGTGCAGTGGCGCGATCTCGGCTCACTGCAAGCTCTGCCTCCCGGGTTCACGCCATTCTCCTGCCTCAGCCTCCCGAGTAGCTGGGACTACCGGTGCCTGCCACCATGCCCGGCTAATTTTTTGTATTTTTAGTAGAGACGGGGTTTCACTGTGTTAGCCAGGATGGTCTCGATCTCCTGACCTCGTGATCTGCCCGCCTCGGCCTCCTAAAGTGCTGGGATTACAGGCGTGAGGCACCGCACCTGGCCGGTGAAGGTTATCTTCTAAAGTTGGCACTTAAGATGAAAATCATGGCTCATCAAAATGGCCTTTTAAACCCTTAAATTGTCCACAAAGCATAGCAAAAGCCTCCCACTTCCCAGTGGGTCCGCTGGAGCCAATTTTGCCTCCAGCTCTAGAACAAGTTGCTGTTTTGACAGTTTCGCTCCAGGTGAAGGTGAAGGAGTTGACTTATTTTAGGGGTCACATGGCTGAAAACTATGTACCCAGATTAATAAGTAGAGCAGCAAGATGCTCGCTAAAAAGCTTGTGGGAACAGAGATTGATGGAGGGAACCCCAGATGCCAGTATCCCGTCTCACACCTACTCCAGGGAACCCGGTTGCTGAATCATTGTATTATTTATATTGTTCTCTCTCTCCATGGCCCCATGGAACATGTATCACTGAATCTGAGGGAGTTAAATACATGTAAGTTATGATTTCACCATGTGAAAGAAAAATATTTATCATTACAAGGTGTTCTCATAGTAATCTGTTTTTAGAAAATGTCTTATTATACAATAATCTACTTTTAAGAAATTGGCCGGGCGCGGTGGCTCAAGCCTGTAATCCCAGCACTTTGGGAGGCCGAGACGGGCGGATCACGAGGTCAGGAGATCGAGACCATCCTGGCTAACACGGTGAAACCCCATCTCTACTAAAAAAAAAAAAAAAAAATACAAAAAACTAGCCGGGCGAGGTGGCAGGCGCCTGTAGTCCCAGCTACTCGGGAGCCTGAGGCAGGAGAATGGTGTGAACCCGGGAGGCGGAGCTTGCAGTGAGCCGAGATCCGGCCACTGCACTCCAGCCTGGGTGACAGAGCAACACTCCGTCTCAAAAAAAAAAAAAAAAAAAGAAATTGAAGGCTGGGCATGGTGGCTCACACCTGTAATCCCAGCACTTTAGGAGGCCAAGGTGGGTGGATTGCTTGAGCTCAGGAGTTCAAGACCAGCCTGGACAACTATGGTGAAACTCTCTCTACCAAAAATACAAAAAATTAGCTGGGTGTGGTGGTGTACACCTGTAGTCCCAGCTACTCGAGAGGCTGAGGTGGGAGGATTGCTTGGGCCTGGGAGGCGTAGGTTTCAGTGAGCTGAGATCATACCACTGCACTACAGCCTAGGTGACAGAGTGAGACCTCATCTCAAAAAAAAAAAAGGAAAAAGGAATTGCTGGCCCGACACAGTGGCTCATGCCTATAATCCCAGCACTTTGGGAGTCCAAAGCAGGAGGATCACTTGAGGCCAGGAGTTTGAGACCAGCCTGAGCAACATACGGAGACCCCCATCTCTACAAAACAGATAAAAAATTAGACATCATGGCATGTGCCTACGGTTCCCGCTACTTGGGAGGATGAGGCGGGAGGTCACTTGAGCCTGAGAAGTTGAGGCTGTGGTGAGCTGTGATCATGCCACTGCACTCCAGCCTAGGGCGACACAATGAGACCCTGTCTCTAAAAGAGAAAGAAATAAAAAGACTGTATGCTGGGCCCAAGAATGTCGGGAAGTCCCATCACCTGCTACATGAAAGTGTGACATGCAATCTATGTATTAATGCAGAAGGGCACATTTACTAATTATGCTCTTTACCATTGGTCATATGATAGCTGGTTTAAGTAATATGTCTTATTTTAGATTTCAGCACATATATATATATAAAAATATATAAATAAATATATAACTATATATAAATATATAAAAACATATAAATATATAAATATATATTAAATATATATATAATTAGTAGAAATGGCAAAACCCTGTTTCCACTAAAAATACTATTTATATATATATTACATATATATTTTTTGAGACAGAGTCTTGCTCTGTGGCTCAGGTTGGAGTGCAGTGGTGCAATCTCAGCTCACTGCAACCTCTGCTTCCTGGGTTCAAGCGATTATCCTGCCTCAGTCTCCCAAGTAGCTGGGATTACAGGCGCCCACCACCATGCCTGGCTAATTTTTGTATTTTTAATACAGATGGGGTTTCCACCATGTTGGCCAGGCTGGTCTCAAACTCCTGACCTCAAGTGACCTGTCCGCCTTGGCCTCCCCAAGTGCTGGAATTACAGGCATGGGCCACCATGCCCAACCCAGCATATATGTTTACCATTCAATATTTGTTGAACAGTAAACATATGAATCAAATAATAATAATCCTAATAATAGCATTATTAATAGTAAGAACTAACACTTAATCAGGGATTGCTATATGCCATATATTTCTCAAACAGCTTTGCATTTATTAGTTCATTTAATATTCCTATCAACAATGCTCCCTATTTATAGATGATGAAACCAAGGCTCAAAGAAGTGAGGTATTTTTGAATCCACATTTCCAGATCTCAAATGCTGAACTTGGACGTGATTACTTTGAGGGTCAGAGCAGAGGATGTATATAAAAATACATACGTGTATTTTATATACATATATATAATCAAAAAGATTATTATTATTATTATTATTATTATTACTTTGAGATGGAGTCTTGCTCTGTCACCCACACTGGAGTGCAGTGGCTCGACCTCGGCTCACTTCAACCTCTGCCTCCAGGTTCAAGCGATTGTCCTGCTTCAGCTTCCCGAGTAACTGGGATTACAGGCGCCCGCTACCATGCCCCGCTAATTTTTGTATTTTTAGTAGAGACGGGGTTTCACCATATTGGCCAGGCTGGTCTCAAACTCCTGACTTCATGATCCACCCGCCTCAGCCTCCCAAAGTGTTGGGATTACAGGTGTGAGCCACCGCTCCCGGACTCAGAAAGATTATTTTTAAAAATAGATACCAGCTGTTATCCTATGTCAGTCATCATGATAAGGGCTGCTCATGCCTTTTTTTTTTTTTTGGTTGTCACAACCCTACGACCAGATGCAGAAACTGAGGCTCAGAGAAATTAATGACTTGGCCCAGAAGACATAGCCAGTATTATGAAAAAAGTTACCCTAACTCTTAGTAAACTACACTGCCACTGTCTATAGATAAAAGTTGCCTCCATCATCATTATCAATCAGCACAGGAAATAAGAGGCACTCACCATCAGGGAAATTCAAATCACAACCACAGTGAACTACCACTTCACACCCACTAGCATGGCTATAATAAAAAAGACAGACAACTGGCCAGGCGTGGTGGCTCACGCCTGTAATCCTAGCACTTTGGGAGGCCAAGGTGGGCGGATCACTTGAGGTCAGGAGTTCAAGACCAGCCTGGCCAACATGGTGAAACCACATCTCTACTAAAAATACAAAAATTAGCCAGGAGTGGTGACGCGCACCTGTAATCCCAGCTACTTGGGAGGGTGAGGCAGGAGAATCGCTTGAACCGGGGAGGTGGAGGTTGCAGTGAGCTGAGATTGCGCCACTGCACTCCAGCCTGGGCAACAGAGCAAGACTTCATCTCAAAAACAAAAACAAAACAACAGCAACAAAACCCAAAAAGACAGATGATAACAAGCATTGGTGAGGATGTGGAGAAACTGGACCTCTCATACTCTGCTGATGGGGATGTAAAAAACTGCAGCTGCTGTGAAATTCAGCTCCACATTTCCCCCAAAGGTGAAGCATAGTTAACATATGACCCAGCAATTTTATTCTTAGGTACATAATCAAGAGAAAGGAGAATATATGTGTAAAACCTTGTACACAAATATTCGCATGGCATTATTCATGATAGCCAAAAAAGGACACAACCCCAATGTCCATCAATGGATGAATGGATAGATAAAAGTGGTCTATCCATGCAATGGAATATTACTCAGCCATAAAAAGGAATGAAGTATCGGCCAGGTGCAATGGCTCACGCCTGTAATCCTGACACTTTGGGAGGCCGAGGCAGGCAGATCACTTGAGTCCAGGAGTTTGAGGCCAGCCTAGACCACATAGTGAGACCCCGTCTCTTAAAAAAAAATTGAATGAAGTATCAACACAGGCTACAACATGGATGAGCATTGAAAACATGCGAAGTGCAAACAGCCAGGCACAAAGACTGTGTGATTCCCTTTATATGAAATGTCCAGAATCGGCAAATCCATACAGGCAGAAAGTAAACTGATGGGTGGGAAGGAGGAGGAACAGTGTTGGAAATTATGGCCAAGGAGTGTGGGATTCCTTTTGAGTCGATGAAAATTGATTGTGGGGATGGTTGCACAACTCTGTGAATAATCTGAAAATCATCAAATGGTACGCTTTAAATGGGTAAATTGTATGGTGTATAAATTATATCTCAGTAAGTTTCTTTCAGAAAAAACAAAAACCAAAAATCAGGGCCTTCCTGACATTGGTGAAGACCTAAAGTTATAATACATTTTCAAGCCTGGTGCTATTCCTCCCAAGCACGGTGACTCAGATGCCAGCATGATCACCAGGTGTGCCCTGAGATCCTCGCCTCCTCCCTGGGGATCCAGGGTGTTGCCCTGCGCTTTCCCACCTTCCCCAGGCGTGCCCTGCCCCGCTCGCCCTGGCGGGCCTGGAGTAGAGCAGAAAGGAATCCCGCCCGTCCTGTGGCTTCCTTCTGCTGCAGCCTGGCACCGTTTCCTCTTGCCTGCTGCTGCTGCTTCCTCCCTCCCACCCAGCTTGCTGAGAGCACGTCTCAGATTCGAAAACCATGTGAGATTCAGACTGTGCACCTGAAGCTGCCCCCTGGGGCTTTCTGTGCTGTCGGCCACTGCAGAGATCTGGATCCTCCTCACATCCCACTTACCTAACGTAGGAAAAGACGATCACGTGGAAGAACCACTTAATGGTGCCATAATTCATGCTCTGGATCCGAGTGACTTTGGTCGTCTCATACTGGAAAACATCGCTGCAGCTGCAGCAGGCCGGCATGGTGACAGGCTCCGTCCCTGCGCGGAGCTGGACCAGAGGTCTACTCTTCCTGATGGGGCCACAGCAAGCAGCCCCCTCCCAGTAACTGCAAAATGAAACGTACTGATTTTTAGCAGGAGCCTTCAACTTCAAGCTCCTCCAATGACTGCAGAGTTGGGGCGGGCCCTGGCAGTTGCCCCAGATGCGGCTGCGATAAACAAGAAGAGCCAAGTCCTACGGGCCTGGCTGGCAGATGACCTCGCCCCAGCTGGCCTCCCCCAGATGCCTACACAAAGATGGTGTTCAGAGGACGGGCATTTTTAGAATTCTCTCTTTCCCTCCTTTCCTTTCACTTTTTTGGTTTCATTTCTGTTGGAAGAAAGGGGCAGCCGTGCAAATGTCACAAGACCCGGAGCTTCCATTGTGCCTCAGAAAAGGGCTGAGATCTTTCCATTGCCTGAAGCCCCACTCAGAGATTGAGTCATTCATTTCTACAACCCTTTATTCAGCCCCTGATGTATAGGAGCTCTGAGTAAATGAAGATCTCCCTCTCTTCTTCCGCCGCCCCTTATAATACTCTGGTCTGCAGTTGGTGGGGGACATCAGATTTGCAGGGGTAGGCGTGGTGGGGGTGGAGGGGCTTTATTTTTCTGCCAGATCTTTTGTGCTTGACCCTCTGAGTTACTCTCCACCCTGCTCTGCACCCCGGAAGGTCAACCCATGACCTAGACCTGAATCAGCTGAAGATCACCAGGGACACAGTGGCAGTCCAACAAAGTTAGGTTTATTGACCTATTCAGTGAGGGACACCACCCACCAGAAGAGCTACAGCACATCACCAAACAAAGGAAGACGGCGATTTATTATAGGATTCCGAGGAAAGTGGAGTTTAGATAAAATCTAAATGAAGCCATGTTTTGATAGACTACGAGCACAACAGGTTTGTACAAAGCAGTCAACGTCAAGTCTGGATTGCAAAGAGGACCCAGGGCCCTGCTTCCTAGGAAGCAACATAGCTAAGATAAATGTCAAATGTGTCCAGAAACTCTTTATCTGAAGCTCTGCTCCTGAGTTGTCAATTGAGGCTGCTTCCCTGTGTCAAGATGACTTAGATCCTCCAGGCAAAATTGGAATATTTCAGTCTTGGTCATGTCATTTCAAACAGCAAAGTTTCTGAAGGTGTCTGATTTTATTTTATTTTATTTTATTTTATTTTATTTTATTTTATTTTATTTTATTTTATTTTTTGAGGCAGAGTCTCTCTCTGTCGCCCAGGCTGGAGTGCAGTGGCCGGATCTCAGCTCACTGCAAGCTCCGTGTCCCAGGTTCACACCATTCTCCTGCCTCAGCCTCCCGAGTAGCTGGGACTACAGGCGCCCGCCAGCTCCCTGGCTAGTTTTTTGTATTTTTTAGTAGAGACGGGGTTTCACCGTGTTAGCCAGGATGGTCTCGATCTCCTAACCTCGTGATCCGCCCGTCTCGGCCTCCCAAAGTGCTGGGATTACAGGCTTGAGCCACCGCGCCCGGCCCAGGTGTCTGATTTTAAAGGACAATGTTTCAGCAGTCACTCAGAGATGCTGGGTTGTATTATCACTTGACAGCTACAGAGAAATACTGTTCCCTGTTGTCTTTACAGCTGGCTTGATCCATTTCTGTTATTCCAGCCTGCTAACTGGCCGGGTAGATTTTTAGTTTTTCAGTCTAAACTAATTGTACTTTCCCACCCATACAAACTGCATCAGGGTTCCCCTCACCTTCTGGCTTCCAGTTCAGGAGACTGGAGAGCAGTGAGGATGGACGTGACTCCCTGGCCCTGACCTTCTCAGTTGCATACAGGTGGGGCTTCTGGGCACCACTCCCTCCTTTAGTCCTGAGAGTGGTAAGGGCTCCCCACTCTTGCCAGCCCCAGGCAGCTCACTATCCCCTATTGCTTTTTCTTAACTCTGTCCACACCTTTGTAGATGGTTCCATCATTAGTTACCCCACCCGAGTGTGCCATTGCTTTCCCGCCGGGAATCTGAGTGATACGGCCATCTTCATCTGTAAAAAGAGGGGATTTGCAGGTAAAACCTGATGCTTAGAACGTAGGCTCTAGGGGACTAATGGCCTGGCTTCCAATCCTGGCTTCACATTTTACCAGCTCTGTGACGTTGGACAGCTCTGTTTATGCTATTCATTCACTTATTCCCAAGAGCACCAGGAATAGTAGATATAGCAGTGAACAGGCAGACAAGTCAAATGTCCATCCACTTGATGGATGGATACACATAAGGACAAAAGTCCATACAAGCGAATATTATTCAGTCATGAAAAGGAATGAAACACTGACCCATGCTCCAATATGGATGAACCTTGAAAACATTACGCTAAGTGAAAGAAGCCAGACACAAAAGGATACATCTTTTATGACTCCATTTATAGGAAATGTCCAGAATAGGCAAATCACTTCAGCGCTGCTCTTGCTACCACTCAAAGACATCTATTTTCTTGTCTTTCTTCTTTTTTCTTTTTCTTTTCTTTTCTTCTTTTTTTTTTTTGAGATGGAGTCTCCCTCTGTTGCTCAGGTTGTAGTGCAGTGGCAAGATTTTGGGTCACTGCAACCCCTGCCTCCTGGGTTCGAGCGATTCTTGTGCCTCAGCCTCCTGAGTATCTGCAATTACAGCTATGCACTGCCACACTCGGCTAATTTTTGTGTTTTTAGTAGAGATGGGATTTTACCATGTTGGCTAGGTTGGTCTTGAACTCCTGGTCCCAAGCGATCTGCCTGCCTTAGCCTACCAAAGTGTTGGGATTACAGGCGTGAGCCACTACACCCGGCCTGTTTTCTTGTCTTTCTGCTGCACTCTTGCACTGGTCCCTCATGCTCTCCCCTCTCCACTCCTTCAGCCCTTGTCCGCTATTGCACCACTGCCACCTCCACCACTCCATGGATTCTGTTCTCAACGAGGTTACCAAAGACTTCTCAGTTGCCAGACTGGGTGGATATATTTTATTCCTTATTTTACTTGATCTCTTGGATGCATTCAACATCACTGGCCACTTTCTGCATCTTGGACCAGTTTTTTCCCCTTGGTTTCCATGACTTTCCTGGGTCCCATGTCCAGCCAATTGTTTCTCAGCACTTTTTATGATTCTATTACGATAGGACAGGTTATGCTGCAATAACAAAGCACTCTCAGTGTCTCATGGCTTATAGCAGTGATGAATTAATTCTCACTCACACTCTATGTCCATCATGGGTCTCCCAGAAGTCTCTGCTCTCTGTAATCACTCAGAGATCGAGGCTAACGGAACAGCCACTGTCTTGAACTCTTTAATGAGAACTCTGGAGAGTCTCACAGCAGCAATGAAATGTTCTGACCTCGTGATGGAAACAATGTAAAGTTACCAAAAAAAAAAAAAAAAAAAAAAAAAATTGGGGATTGAATGGTGGATTTCTTAGTTGTGTGAGTGTGTGGGTGTGTTTACAATTTACAGAAAATCAAGTGACATTCTTCAGCAGGAAAGGGAGGCCTTTTTTTTTTTGAGGAAACACTTATCTGACAGACTGCCAGTGCAGGAAATGTGCCCAACCTTATGAGAACCTATTAATAGAATCAGAAACTAAACTGTCCGGTGCCGAGGTTGCTCTTTCAGTTTGTTTGAAGCCCGCCTCTCTTTGTCTCTCTGTGTGCCCATTGCGAGTCTCTAAACACCGACTTCCTCTGTTTCTCCCAGGGCACGTGGTTCTGCAATGCTCTCCAAGTTAAGTTCCGCAGTTCAAATGCAAGCCCAGACCCCCTGCCCAGCCAGTTCCAGAACTCAAGGACTCAAGAGAAATGAATCTGATTGGCCTAATTGTTTATCCCTGGTCCAATCAGCTATAGCTGTGGGTGGGGCCATAATCAAATATGTCGTCAAGGGCCAGGGTCCATGAGGGGAGAAGGGAGGGAGGAAAGAAAGGAAGGTGATTGGGAGAGAGACAGAGGAGAGTGGTGGGGAGAGAGAGAGGGAGGAGAGAGAGAGAGAGAATGTGACGCTCAGAGAATAGAGACTCCAAGGCTGAGGGACTGCTGGTTAAATACCCCAATTCCTCCCCAAGGTGGGACAACTCTGATACACGTCTAGGCCGTCTCCAGAGGGCCTGAGGGGGACTGAGCCCAGACGCCCACAGCCGTGACCGGCTCTTTAATGAATTAATTAATTTTATTTATTTTTTTGAGATAGAGGCTTGCTCTGTGGCCCAGGCTGGAGTGCAGTGGTGCAATCATGGCTCACTGCAACCTCTGCCTCCTGGGTTCAAGTGCTCCTCAGCCTCCCAAGTAGCAGGGACTACGGGCAAGTGCCACCACTCCCGGCTAATTTTTGTATTTTTAGTAGAGTTGGGGTTTCACTATGTCGCCCAGGCTGGTCTAGAACTGCCGACCTCAGGTGATCCACCCGCCTCAGCCTCCCAAAGTGCCGGGATTACAGTCGTGAGCCACTGCGTCCAGCCTGCTGACCTGCTCTTTAATGCTTCCTCTGTTGGCTGCCTTCCCTTCCCGGTCTCACTTCCCCACTCCTCTTCCTGGCTCACCTCCGAAACAAACTACTTGCACCTGAATCTCGCCAAGTCTTATGTGCTGGTGTTAAGGAGTCTGTCTGGAATTTACTCTGAGAACAATAGGTGGGTTTATAAACGGGGTGTGGCATGATCTCATTTGCAGCTCAGTCAGAGCACTCTGGCTGCACCATGGAAAATGGGCGGAAGGGGCAAGAGTGGAGCCAGGGATCTGCCCAGGGAGAGGGCACAGTGATATGGAGCGGAACTGAAGACAGATCCCTGAAGGACACCAACACCAAGGAGACCAAACTGAGGCAGAGTAAGGAGGAGAGGAAAGCCGGGAGACAGTGAGTCCCCAGAGGCCACAGGATGAACACTTCACAAATAAGGCGGTGGCCAAGGAGATATTAAGAGCGATGATAAAGCTGTGTAATTAAAGCAGCTCTAGTAAGGGAACTGACAGATACATTATTGGAACAGAGTGGAGTCAAGTATTAAACACAAAGATAGGTGCAGGCTGGGTGCGATGGCTCACACCTGTAGTCTCAGCACTTTGGGAGGCCAAGGCAGGATTGCTTGAGCCCGGAAGTTCGGGACCTGCCTGGGCAACATGGCAAAACCCTGTCTCTACAAAAAATAAAAAAATTAGCCAGTTGTGGG